TAAAAACTAGATTGCAATCACAAAAACTTCGAAAAAGGAAGCCATCCGGCAAGAATTCAAATGCTTTGATTTTGTGTCATGAAGACGATACAATTAGTCTTGTCAGCTCACGGGTCGGAAAATTTGCTTGACTGTCTATCGACAACCTTGCTTTTGACGGCTCCCACGAAACTGATAGTTTGCATTCTCAAACTAGAGCAAAGAAAAACAGTTCATTGAAAAAAAGCTTAGCGAAAGCATTTTTCAAAGCAAATGAGGTAACGGAACATTTCAAAAAAAACGCAGTTGAAAACAAGCGAATCAGGCGCCATCCATGTAATAATTTCCGAACCAGTTAAAAATTCAGTGTGATGATGGTGCAAGGCGACCCGATTTTTGATAGACTGAAGCTGAAGTTTTCGGTGTTCAACCGGAAACCTCTTGAACAGCCGGAAGGCTCTTTTTCTAGCGAATGTCTGTTGCGCCACGCTAGACAAAAGCATTCAGATGATTTGCTTCAAAACATTGTATATTGGAAAAACGAAACCAACCAACAACAAATTAAGCTATTATAGAGATACATACAGTAGTTCAGCATGCTCTTGATAGAAAGTTTGGCCGATTTCTTATTTTTTTTTTGCTTAAGCAGAGAAGTTCAAAATCAACATTTCAAAAGACTGCATGTCTCTCAGTCAATCAGTTTAATCAAATTGTTCCATTGGAGATTTCAGTTGTGAAAATTTCAGCACTTGGATGAAAAACATTGCACTTGTACGCAAAATTTAAACGTTCCGGGGAATCCAAAAACCAGCAAAAACCACAAAATTGATACTTGTGGCGCATCCTAAAGCATTTGAGAGAAAAACACAGGGCTATGAGTATCTCCTTATAGATAGAGCTGAAAACCAGTTGAAATTAGAAGATGAACAGTTAGTTGTTCCAAACTCAAAGAATTGTAAGCTGCGGAAAGGCATGACCACAAATTGAGAAAAGGCATGACTCGAGAATGAGCTCTAGTGTTGCCTTGATGTGGCCTTCATACGGCCACAAAAGTTGCCATGATAGATGCACAAAAGCATAACCGGCTCTTGCACCAAAGAAATGGAGCGAAAGAGTACAAAGCAGCTGAAATAAAAATTGGAGACTTAATCGGTCTTGTCTTCGTCATCTAGAAGTAGCGGAATGTTTCACTTCAAAAAAGTGCTTGTCTCTTGTACCAACAAAAAACAGAGGAAATAGTTGCCTTGTGAGACAACGGATTTACTGTGACTAATCGTAAAATCTCCGAGAGAAACTCATCTTCTGGCAATTGGTAATTAACCATAAATAGTGCAGTGGTTCATAGACCCGCAAATACGAAATTAGACCGGGTGGCAACCCTCATCAATTCAATGGACAACAACGAAGTGATTAAGTTTTTTTCGGCTCGTCGCGCTCCCTACAGAAGAAATTGGCTTTGACTTAACTAATTATAAGGATTAAAAAGACAAAATATGCAGCTCTGGCCCTTTCTAATCATTCAATATCAAGGAAATATGTGAATATACTCCTCCAAAAAGAGGTCTTATCGAAGCCGTCAAAAAACAATTCGTTGGGCTTCAGGGTCGTGGACACTAAAAATATTAATGGGTGAGACATTATGTAGACGGATGCCTAGGAAACATAGTGGCACAATCGAAAAATTTTTTCATTCAAAAATATACAATGGATCTAGAAAGAACAAGTAAAACACAGCCGATCCAGAAAGAATAACTTTTTTGATGGAGAAAAATACGAGGTCGTATCAACACTAAAAATTTGAGACAAGAGAAAATTCTCAGTGACAACATGAAGTAGGCTTCGAAAAGATTGACAGCTAAACACAAGATAACAGGAGACATTCATAACCAGATGAGCAAAGCGCTCTCACATGAGATGTCAGAGTTGCAAGATTTCGGGGCTTTTCTTCAGTGGTACTTCCTCATTATTCTGTAATTAACCCTTAAGGACCCCAAAAAGTAAGATGCATTTTCAAAGCAGAAGCTAAAAATAACCTCAACCTGCTCAATAACACTAATTTGTCAATTTACGCAAATCAATTTTGCAATGTCAACGGACATTTAAGCAATTTTCTCAAATTTGCCGAGCAATAACCTGAAAGCCGACTCTTTTGCTTCTTTTAGAGGAACGACGACGGTGAAAAAGGACGAAGTGTTGAAAAGAAAAGACATGATTTCTCAGCCAATAAACCTCCAACGTGAGTTAATTGAGCGTTGCTCAAAGCAGAAAGAGTTGAATTAAAATTGTTTCCAAAAGCAGAGACAATCGGCAAAATGAATATTTCCTGGATTTGTTATTCGAATCAGTACTAACCATGAAGCAAGGTAAAACATTGTACAAGGAATTCAAACAAATGAATCTTTGTCCAAAAATGAATTTGGAATAATCAAAAGAGTAACAGCGAGTTTCTTCTTCAGTCATTTTTCTGAAGAATTTAGAAAAAGTTGTGAAAATTATTCTTTCAATTCTTCGTACTTGGATTGAAAAGGAACGAAAGATGTCGACACTTCAGAAGTATCTCATGGACCTCAGGGCAATTCTACCTGATGCATCCATTCTGTTTGAGCCCTTACAAATTTACTCTCTTTTTACGATGAGATTGGCAATGCTCCGACAATCTTTTCATCAAAAAAAAAAGAAGTGGTAGTGGGACAAAAAACTGAACCAGATTATACCCAAAAATTTGGCATTTGAACTTCAAAACTACATTTGAAATTTTTCAATACCACTAAGATTCTAAAAAACAAATTATGCTGATACAAATTCACTTTTTCTCCAATGCTCCACTAAAGGCAATGAGCACTGTTGGATATAGAAAAAATATATTTTAAAAAAACAAAGCAGCGCTTTCGTTGAATATATGCTTTATCAGCTTTATACACCACTCGTCGCCTTCTTTCCCATGATGTTTTTCATCACCAAGTTAATCTCATATTGGGATAAAGCTTGCACATAACACCATTCGCCAATTGTTGAACTTTCTTTATTATGTTCACCATGAAGACTGATGGTTTTTTTTTCGTGAGCACAATCAACAAATGGAGCATCGTGATTGGGTTTCTCCCATGACGATTTTCATCACCAAGTTAATATCATATTGGGATAAAATTCGGGAGAGATCCTATCACCCTGCTCCATTTGTTGATTGTGCTCACGAAGAAAACCAACAGTCTTCATGGCGAACATAATAAAGAAAGTTCAACAATTGGCGAGTGGTATTATGTACCTGGTGTGGTCAACCCAGCCGAAATTTGGAACCAGAGGAACGACAAACTTGTAGTTGAACAGAACCATTGAACAGCAGGATTCATTTAGCTAAGCCGGTCAAAGTTATCCTGGCCCCTCCAGACGAGTTTTCTGTAACTATCAGAAATCTACAAAATGATTGAACTGGTCACTCTGCTTACTGCTACACAACCAGTTCAAGTTGCAGTTCATTGGCAACGCTTCAATTTATAGCCAAAACGAGTGAACGCTGTGGCGTTTTGTTTTCGTTTTTAGAGAAAAAGTAACAGGTCTTGTGTTCAACGTTTTATGAGCGTTCGAGACATCAACCGATTTGTTTTGAGACATGCGAACTTTTCTGGGAGAATCAATTTTTGTCCCACTTTAATTATAGCTTCTTTCGTCCAATGGCCTTGATTCTAATGAATTGAACGCCATCATTCTGAGCTTCTTGGTTGACCAATTATCTCGGTAACTATCCCCATTGACGGCTTATATTCCGAGTTGATAAAACTCTATTGAACTTTTTGAGCGGACGCAGACATGTTTTGGCAACAATGGTCACTTGAACATCTACCGCAGTGGAAAACACGTTTGAAGTCGAACATTGAACAACACGTTAACATGAGTGTGGCCTATTGGTAACCCAGTCAAACCATGGGACCACAAGATGGCGGGAGTCTTAAGAAAATGTCCTACAAAAGATGGAGTTATTCGAACAGCAACAGTCAAACCTACAAGAAGCAAGTACAAAAGATCTTTTGGTTAAATTGGCGCCGTTGTGTTTACCCTCTGTGTTTTGTATAGATAACTATGCCCCGCCAGATTTGCGTCATCAAGGAATCTCAACAAAAAAAAACTAGAAACGATTGATTCTTTGTTTTCTTATAAATTGCATTTTTCAGTTTCTACTTTATTAGGTTTGTCCGTTTGGCTCGTTTTTCAATTTTTTAACACAGATAAAGAACAGAACAGAAAGAAACAGAGCAAAACAGAGCCCACAATGTTAGCCCGAGCAAATATTTTCACCGAGAAAAGTTATACGTTAATGATGTTTTTCTCACGTTAACTTATAAGGTGAGTTTGTTCTGCTTCAACTTTATTAATTTAGTCCTTTGTGCTCTTTTGACTAATTGTACACAAACATACAACACTAAAAAACCGTTACCCTCAATTTTTGAGCCCAATTTTTGTAGTCATATGTAACCAAATTGTCATGGTATTCATTTTTTTGTTTGTTTAAAGTTTACTTTCATTAATCAGGCAGCGACGTGAGCTATATAATTAGAAACTAAAATGAGTGTTCAGCTATCAGCCGCTCTTTTTCTTAAGTTTATATCAAGATAAGGTCCTTTGTTGATACAGTGTTAAACAAAAATTTGTGAGTTTTTCTTCAGTACTTGGAAATCAAAGATCAGATCAATGCCGGTGATCGTTACTTTTGATTGAGTAGAATTAGCCTCCGTCAAAATTTGGGGAAAGCGACAATTTTCACAGTTTAAAAACTAGATTAAAATATGGCAATGCCAAGTAGCGATCGCTTTGCATTATCATTCGGCAACAGAGATAGTGAATGTGGATCAGTATTAGCCGCTAAATATTCACAGAAGTTTGTTACATTTTCCGACGTTTCTTTACTTTTCTTTAGTATTGCCAGTTGTCTTTTTTAAGAGTCAAATCACAGGCTCAAATGAACAGATTTACCATATAAATCTAAATTAGAATCAGAAAATTTGGTATCATTTTTGGTATCATACCTTGAGGCTATCTTCATTTGCATAGAACACTCTGTAAAGGCCAGTTCCATTTGCGTTGAATTTAATCCAATCGGGCCTGGCTCTGTTCAAAGGAATTGTTGCAGAAGTTTCTTCCAGTAGAATTGTTCTGAAGGATCCAGCGACATCATTGGGAAATGTGTACCTGAAAGTTTTGCAAGCAAAAAATTGCGAATGTTTTGAAAAGTTCTTTTAAGCATCAATGAACGTAGAGAAGACAGTTATGGGTCATTTTTTTGAAAAGTTAGCCTAGTTGAATAGTAAACTAGAGTTGCGAATAGTAATTTTAGGGCAATCATGAAACCTGTCTGATAAATGCTTTTCAAAAATTGTACTCCGGGTTGTTTTAACTGGTTTACCAGCCGCCAGATCCTTGAAACTTTGCATTAAATCCTTTAGACCCGAAGAATTTTGATGACAACGCTGTATGAAGCTATTCAAAAATGGAAAGTTACAATATAAATGAGAAGGGTCTATAGCTAAAAGTAATTCCAAATATACAACAAATCGGACTTTTGGGGGCTTGAAAAGCAAAGCTTCTGGTTATCACAGAAACTCCTGATTGTTCCGACCGCTTTCAGAGTGAAAAGAAAACTTTGACACATGACTTTTGTAGTTTTTAAGAGATGGGTTGCTCCGGTTATCAAGAGAGGTATCATATTAAAGCCCTGTTTTCACTCGTGATACGGAAAAGATAAGGATGCTTCAAAAACTTCGAATGTCTTCGTTTTAAGATTAGTTTATCACTAGAGTGAGTGGGAAAACCCGTTCGCAACATGGTAATTTTTCAGCGTTTTGAAATTTTCTTGGATATAACCTAAAGAACGTTGGGCTTAATTTTCAAGACATTTTTCAACTCACAAAATAGCTTGAAAGTCCTTAGCTTCTTGTCAACAACTGGCTTCTCCTTTTAATAATGAGACTAAAATATTCTTTTGCTTACGTCAGAGGTATGATCCATGGCGTGTAGTTTTGTGCTGACTCAAAGACAACCGAACACATGTAGCAGTAGGGTTTCTGCGATAGGTGGATGTTCTCGTCATCAAAGGAAACAGTCACAATCGGAATGTGTTCAGAATTCAGCTGAAAAAAAAAGATCAAATCAGTGCTATTATTTAGTTAGTGAGACAACTGATTAACGAGGAAAAAACCAAGATACGAGCTGTTCAGCTCCCGTTTATACATGAATTTTTTTGGGCTTAGTAGTGTTGCCTTAGTTCAAGTAACAATCACGGATCGTGGTGAGCCTCGAACCTCCGACCTTTTGAGTTAGGACCGATGGGTATAACTCATAGAGTAATTTCGGATAGGGTACACCGTCTGCTCGTCACGCTATCTTATTTTCGGCCGGATAGATTCGTGCAACTTCTTAGTCTAATACCGATCCTAATCTTACTCTTATACTATCTAGTCTCAGGTTGTTTAACTAGTCTCTGCTAGGCTCAATAGATCTAGGGTATACTGGTTTATTGCGGCTGCTGAAGTACTCGGGAGAGTTCAACTAACTTCTAAGTTAAATTCAAATCTCTCTGGTGCTGAAATTACAAGTAATTTCAGCACTTACAAATAAGTGGATTGTTAGTCAGATGGATCATGATTGGTTAATATTAAATACTTTACATTGGTAAAATATCTAATTTATCCAATCATAAAATGTAGTTTAGATCAGGTTCCACTTTTGATTAAAAAACGGAGACGTGGCCACATTACTACTGCTCCCCCTGTTACCAGGTGTTTAAAATGATCGCAACATTAACAAGAGTGGCCTTTTTTAGTTAGTAGATAATGTTCAAACGTCAAAATCGATGCAAAAAAATCGTTCTAAGCGCTGGTTAGTTTTTCGGGTACGCTTCAAAATTCCTTAAGTTTTCAAATCTTAATAACTTTTTTCTCGTTGCAAATTTTCTTCAATTTTCAGATAATAATCATTTGTTTTCTCGAGTCGCATTTTCCAAAAGGGCAAAAAACTCCAAAAAGCTTAAAAATGATAACGATTTCGAAATTGGAGCCAAACCTTTAAAAAATTGACCAAAAAATTGCACCCAAATTCAAACCGGGTTTTTGGCCAAAAAAAGTAAATCCTTTCCTAAACACTTGATAAATGAAAATATCAAAGTAACAACCCGTTTTCATCAAAATTGTTGAGATATCCATAAAGAAATTTTCACGGGTTGGCGAATTTTTTTCTGGATGTTAGAAGGTTGCATAGAAAAAAATTGCATGTAGTTCTTAAGCAGGGGCACAACAGCGGTTCGCCGTGATGAGCTGTACAGCTCGTATGTTGGTCCTATCCCTCGTGGATAAATGATCTTAAAAGGCGCAATCAAGCTATATCTGAAGAAGAGCAACTATTTGCGATTAATTCGTAGTGATATTTAGCCTCGCGTAAAACTTTTAACGTTTTGTCTGCAAGAGTCACATAATATAACGTTTTATAGTGAATTAACAACAGATTATGTGAGAAAATTTTACGTTTTTAACTAAAATAATACAATTCAGATCTTTTAACTGATAAAAACATTTAACTGATAAAAAAAAAACATTTTAACCGTAAAGAAAAAAACAATCAGAAGGTCAAGCAAAGGATTGACTGATCCAAAAATAATTGATACCAAAACAGCAAAAAAAGTATTTGATGATGATTTTTAACAGTGTTTTACCCATTTATTCATCAGATGTGAAATGTTTCCAAGCGAGTGATTTGACCCTAGCGTCATCATTGCCCAGAGGTCATTGACGTCCGCGTTGCTGAACTTGAAAGTGTCCAAGTACCTGCCGACTCCCGCGAAGAAGTTCTCCTTGCCCATGACCTGTTCCAACATGGAGAGAAGGCCACAGCTCTTCCAGTAGGTTATGGAGTCAAAACTGCCTAAACTTTAGTAATTTTAAATTGTTGGCAATATATGAGACTTTGCGCCCCATGATGATAGACAGTAACAAGGATAGCCGGTTACTGTGCAAGTAGCACAGAATGTTCCGACCATAGTCTTTAAAAACCTACAAAAATAGTTTTTTTTTCAAATTTGTGTAGTTTTTTTCTGCGTGGTGTGATAAAGGGATCTGACGTAAGACTATAATTTAAGTAGATTCGAAAGTCATACTAAAATAGGCCAATTGGACAAACTTTTTTCTAGATAATGACAAGAAAAATAAAAAAATAAAAAATTTGAACATTTTTTTTCAATTCAGTTTTTTCTGTAGAAATTTTTTTGAATGTTTGGTTCTTAAAATGGGACTAAAATTTCTAAAAACTTATTTTTTTTTGCTTGAAACTAAGTTTCAGGCTTTATAATAGGCATAATTAAGCTGATGTAAGCCTGCTCGCCTGCTTAATTCGGTCGAGTTAAGACGAAAAACCAAAAACTTAAAACCTGAGAAACTGAGAAAAAATTTTGGAAAATTTTAATGTGGTTCGAATTGCAGCTGAAATGGCTTTAATATGATATATCGCTGGTTATAACTTGATGATTATTTGCGGTACCTGATTTTGCGTGGAAAACAAAAAAACTAAAACACACCGAATACAAAGTTCCTCCCCATTTTTCAAATGGTCGGAAAAAAAAGCAGAACTTTTCAGTATTTGCTGATTAGGTGTTGAAATCAGTGAAATTTCAGGCTAATCTTAGTTCAGATTTTTTGACCGAAAAACATTTTGTCAACAGTTTGGCATTTAATATACAATAAAGCTCTTTCTAGTTCCAAACATTTTATTGTTTCTGAAGGTTGTTTCACCAAAATCTATTTTTTTACATTTTTTTTCGATCTACAAAAAATAACATAAAAGTTTCGGCGTGAATAAGTGAACATTATAAACAGCAATTTTTTGCATATATATTTTAAAACAGTATAATCCTTTTTCAGATAATAAAATTGGTTTTATACAAATTCTAGGCAATTCTATTTTGATTTTACGAGTCGATGAATCCAACTTTTTATTCAATATAATCAATTTTTCTTTGTAAAGTCCTATTTTATCTATTTGAGTGACTATTTGGGTTACTCGCAGTTGATTTTTTACTAGTAGAAAACCTGCATAACAATAAGTAATAACCGGATTATAATCAAATCCAATCATAGTTTCGTCAATGCGGAGAGCATATACTGGGTTGTTTTTCTTGAGAAACAAAGTGAGCACAGGTAAAATATTGCTGTTTCAAACACAAAAAAACGCTTCGACAGCGGCGATCATTGCAAGAATCTCTTATAGACAACATTTTGTTAAGGTGAAACACTTTTTCCGCATGATTTTATGCTGTACATTATATTTCATATTAACTTTTTAGATTCAAATCCCTTCTTGATCCCTTATGAGTTTTCCATGAGGAACAATATGTTAGAAAAAGTCCACGTACGTCATAGTTCCGTTCCGCCCATGCAGTTTATACATAGGAGTTTTGATGTCGCTCGTTTGCTCACCTTTATCGGGCATATAGATAGGATGAGAGTGAGAAAAGGCGTCTGAATGCAACGCAGCTGACAGCTTCCCTGAACAAAAAAAAACTAAATTTGGTCACACCACTGATGAGAAAAAACTTTAACATTAAGAAAAAAATGTATCTCCTTATTTTATACTTTGTTTTTTTTTGCACATTTTGCAAACTGAGTTCCAAGCATACAATTGGTTCGTTTGAGGGAATTCGGCAACGAATGAGTGACGCTGGCTCTTTTTTCTTACAGACAAAATTTTTGTTTACCTTGTCTGATTTTTATGAAAATTGACATTCGGACTATTTAGGCTATGGCCAACATATTTATTCTTCATGACTATCCCTGTAAAACTACCCTTTACACCATAAAAAAGATGCTCAAGTGAAGTGCGGGAATTGAAAAAAGAGCCGTGAGCTTCTATTATACTGACTGGAATCAAAACATGAAAACCAAAAAGAATTGTCCAAAACTGCAACCAAAAAGTCAGTGACTAAGTACTTGAAAGTCTTTCAAAAATATGTTGAAGACTTTCGATAAAATTTTTAGATTAAAAAATGAGCACTCTAATTTTTATCCAGGTTGATAAAAAATTAACACGTTAAAAGTCGAATCGAAAGGATCTCAGGAATTGCGTAGACTGATTTGTTTCAAAATGAGCTATGACTATAATTATATCATCATAACTATTATATATAATCATGTAATTATGAACAATAACTATAATCAACTTACCATCGGTGTAGAATGTCTCTCTGGTTCTCAGATCTGGTCTGATGTGTTCCAGCACCACTTGACTCATGAAAGTGGCAAATCCTTCATTCAGCCAGATATTGTCCCACCAATTCATAGTCACTAACAAATGTGTAAATGCAGGAGGATTAGGATCTTGTTAACTATCCCCCTCCAAATTGCAAAAAGGGGGCTGTGATACGGTAAAAAGAGCAAAACTTGCATATGATTAACTGTTAAATTAGTCTTTTACAGGGATCGGAATGGTTCCAGAAGGGAGGAAAAGCCGCGGCAGATTGCAAATATCTACACATACAAAGGAACTTTGCGGCGTTGTGGCGCTTGGTGTTAATTAGTGACCACCAATCAAATGATTGCTGGTTCAAATCGAACGTGCGCTGCAACTTGCAAAGTGAGCGCTTGTGAGCCAAGACAGCCATAGCTCAATGGGCTCATAACTAAGTGGATTCTAGTTCACAATTTAAGAATCAGCCTCAGGGTTAGATTAGTTTTCAGGCTGGTTGACTGAAAAATGAACGTTGTATTAGGTTCTAGTTTTATTAGAATTTAATATTGGACAGTTTAATTTTTCTCGGTTATAACCTTGACTTAAATTGACGTTATTTCTTCAGCATTTTTAACTACGCATTATGACATGCCAAATGACTTTTTCTGCGTACAGATCAGGGACTGTTACAGCCGACCTGCTAAGTTTCGCTTTTTTTGTATAGTCACGGTACAAAAAAGTTCAGTTATCCGTCTCAGCTAAAATAAAGCATCTTTTTCTTTTTTTCATCGTTTTCTCATAACTTTTTTTGACAGAGGATTGAAAATTGAAAACCTGTTTGATAAAATTATGAATTAGCATTGGGTTCTTGTTTAATGTTTTGGAGGCTCTATTCACGTTTTGTCAGTCAATCATCTCGCGTTATTAGTCAGAAGTATAATCAGAAACAATCATAAAAGAGGTGTCCCCGTATTGACAAGAAATGGATTGCAACCGATTTTATACAGATAGCGTAGCAAAGACCTAGAAAAACTGATTTGCCATGATTCAAAATTGATTAAGATTGATACAAAAATATGGCTTGAAAATCAATTTCAACCAATTCTAAATAGATTTAAACTCAATCTTGTCAACTTTTTGGGTTTCATTTTCATACGGATTTTAAACAAGAAAAAAATTGATTTAAATTGATTTTTGTTACCTTTTTCCGATGCTCATTTTTTGCAAAATCTGTTCAGAGTTTATTCAGACTTTCTCGGCTATCAAAAAATATAGCGATTTGAAAACTAAATTAAAAGGAAAGCTTTTCATTTGACTTTTTCGTTGATGTTTGGACTGAAAAAAAAAACTCGATGGAGGTTTTTTTTCTATATCAAAAATTACGCTGAGTATAAGTATTGAGTAGGTTTTTTAGAACAAAAATGAAACGTTCTAAATTTTGGTTTTCAAAATTTCATTTGCCTAACATAATTGCACCTAAAACGTTACAAAAGAAAGTGACATCAAGAGATATTTTGCATATCTTACATTTTTTTTACCACGGGAGCCTTTAAATTTGCAAAACTCAAAATAGTTTCCCTAATCAGAATAGTTAGCAGTGAAGAAACTCTCCTCGAGTAACTCTCGCTATCTGTGAAACTATGTAGTAAATTTAATATCTTTATCTTGTTGTTACGAGAAATCTTGTTGTTGTTGCCGTTACGAGAAAACCAATTTTTTAAGTTTCTCAAAAAAAGATTGAGTCTATAACTGAAAGCTAATTTGCTGTTTAACCGGACGCTGAAATTACACTAGTTAATAAAGCTTCTCTAGCAAATTGAAATGGACATTTCAAATGACGCCTTCAAAGCTAAAACTATCAGGCTTTAAAAAGCCGGAAAAATAATGTTACATAAAATTCACATCCATCTGATAACGTTTCCACCCTGATTTTTAAACATTTTCAGTGAAAAATTGCAAAAAAAACGCTTAATGGCTTTGATTAAAACAAAAATTGCTACTTTTTGTTACCCCTACCCAACACAGACATCCAAATTGGATAGAAAACTTGTATAGATAATCTAAACGTCTGTTTTATAATTTTTTCACAGAAACTATCTGTTTTTTGTCTGACATTTGAAATAAACATGCCTTAGAAGACTCTGTCTCAGATGATTAGTTCACAATCAAAAGGCACTCATGATGTTTTTCAAAACTCTGATTATACACTTTGATTCTTAACAATATAATCAAATTGATACATGTTATAAACTGGGCTATTTTGGAATAGATTGCGCTGAATATTGTGTTTATTCAACTCTTGTTGCATAGCCCTAAGCGTTTTTGTTAAATCAATGCAAAATCGGTACGAAATGTCACCCAGAGATTTTTTTTTCTGATTGCGATCAGGCTAATTTTAGCAAATTTTGTATCAGAAACTAGATAAGAAAAATCAAGCTAAACTGTGCACTGGATAGGCGCGCAATTTGCTATTTGTAGGTTTCTCAAAACTAGAGACAAGTCCAAAAACAAGGCAAAATTTTGTCGGAACGATCATAGCAAACACAAGAACAGAAGAGGATCAAAAGAGCGAGCTTGCTCGGGAATCCGCTTGCAGTTCACAAAATACACAGTTTAGCATCGCTACCTGCATCCAATTTTACGCGTTAATAATCTATTAGGTTGTGATTTTAGGACCAGCCTTACTAAGTTTGAGAAAGTTTCGATTTTAAAAATCAAATCATAATCGGTTATAACCTCTCTTTTTGAAACCAAATCATAATCGGTTATAATCTCTTTTTTGTAATTTCTAATGAAATTATCATTTTTTATTGTATTTTTTCTTAAAATACAATCAATTGTTATTCTATCTAGTTTTCGATACAAGTATGATCAATTATATTTTTATAATCGATCATCATTGATTATTTTTATCCCGATTTCTAGATCATATTTTTTGCTCAAAAATCCATTATAATCGATTATAATTGATTACAATCTTTTTTTATTTACAACGTTTTTTTTTCATCTAAGATTCAGAAATGCTCGATAAGATTTATTTCATGGGGCAAATCTTAAGTTCTTTTTATCATCAAATAATCAGCACATTAATTTTAATTCATGATTTATTTAGAAGCGTTATTTTTTACCTAATATGAAAAGACCTTATATTCAACTAATATGAAGGGATCTCTATGAAATTTTTGAAACGCGGTAAAGCTTTGTGTTCAGATATACCAAAGTAAGACAAAAAAAACTCACCTTTAGGGATATTATTATCGACAGAAAAATAAGAAATCATAAGATATAATTAAAAAATCACTTTTAGTGTAGCAAACTTGCATTAACTATAATCAATTGTAATCGATTACCCAAGATTATTATCTCTTGGGAAAAATCAAGATTACAATAAATTATAAACCCTTAAAACACCTAACTTTAGTAATTGTTATCAATTTTAATTGTCAAAAAAAATCGACACATGAATCCGTTATAATCAATTACTTGCGCCTAAATTTGGATGCGCGAATGTTCAAGCTTTCTTTGAATACTTCTGACGGGTTAATTTCGGGTCAATAAATTCAAAATTATTTCTTCTCGCCAGCTAGCGGACTGTTACTAGCCTAGAAACTTGAGTTTTTAACCTGAGTTTCTCGAATAAAAATCTACGCAAAATAGAGATGACTGTAAGCAATTTTCTAATTTATGGGGTAGGTCCTTCATTTACTTAAGCTGGATTATCCATCTAAGGGGCATAGGGCGAGAAAATTCTGTTTAAAAAACATCATCATTTGGTTGCTCGGTCAAATGGTTAGACCCATTGATCAGAAAATGAAAAAATTGGCCGACGATCCGTCATGCCGAAATTACATACGCTGAAAAAAGTTATATAAAGTCTTTTTAGTTAAATCTCCCTAAATGATGGAAAAAGACAAAAAAAAGAAGATACATCCAATATTGTTTTCGCCCCGGCCATCTTATAAACCAGCATTTGTTCCGACTTCTTACACCTTTCTTATAAGAACAATTCTAAGATAACATGTTCAACCCAATTAACAACGCAAATTTTCAAAAGCTCAAAAAATCGCCTGTTTCTAACTGTAATTACGCATAAAAATCAATTTTCAGATTTTTTTAACATTTTTTAAATTATGCATATAAAACGTTTCTTTTTTTGGTTATAGCAGAAACATACTTTGTGGCATCGGAGAACTTTTGTACTGGCAATGAGAAATTTTTTATAAATTACTGAAATTTACTTGGATTTTTTATCGGAGAACAAATTCCTATCTTACAACTTTCTTGTAAGAAAATTTACTATCTTTTAGCATTCGAACCATTAGAACTAAATTTTGTAAGAATCTTATGAGCGCATTTTGCACCCCGGGTTATCTCAGAGGAGCTAATGTAATTGGGTAAATGTAATTCTAGCAAAATTTGTGCGTACTGCGATTTTTAAATTGATATGATGCTAGTTAACGATAAGCTTTTGGCTATCCATGAACAATTTGTTTTCGATTTACTGAGTTTTCGTCTATATGACACGCAAACGGATTTTCTAAAATAAATGAGTTAGGCATGAGTCTCGAAAAACCGAAATGACAGCTGATTACCTAAATTGCCGAACCACTGATGAGCCATTTCGTGAGCCACGAGTGATGTAGCAGCTCTCTCGTATGCTATTCCGAAATCCGCCGAATTATACAGCAAATCCAGCATTCTAAAATAGCATAACTACATAAACACCTTGGTAATAAGTTAT